CTGCACTAGTAATTGGAACAAATGGAAACGATTTAAATATTGAAATAAACTCCTTTAAAGAAACCTAAATCAAATCGCAAAGTCCAATTTTGTCAGAATTTAACAAATTTGGTTTATTGGTAACAACAGGAGGTTAACTCTTCACTCGGGAAAACACGACTAAGTTATTTTTATAACGCATACTCAAACTGCTAAGATCAATAAGCTGTACTTCTCCCTCCACAATCTTCCTCTGATCAGCATTTCCACCGCTGCCCATAAAAGATACCGAATAAGACGGAACATTTTGTTACAAGATTTGATCAGCCGGTAAGATTACTCCTTCAAGAATGCACTAAAATCCGCGTACTGGAAGTCTCCAGCCATTTTAAATTACTCCCGATCAAAAAAGAAAAAGAGGCGGGGGAGGGGAAAGGAAAGGGGGAGGAGAGAGGTAGTCATTTTGAAAAAATTCTAAAAAAAAAAAAATTCTCTCGGTGGCAAAGAAAAAACACACCCAGATCCGCATGCTGGCATGAAATAAGAGCCTTGCGAATGGTTTTAATTGAGAGTTGTGACTCATTAGATTACACGGCTCTGAGGTCCGTCGATTATTCCAGGGAAGAAGGAGGCGTGCTCACACGGAAACCCAGTAAAATGAGAATTTTTAAATTACAGCTCCAACACCGCTAGCTCGGAGCAGAAAGCAGGTATCTAAACCGCACGACACCCCGTAGGCATCTCCTAACAGAGCCGGCAGCAGGAACGCCAAGTGTTTCCCAGGGGACCCGCCGCGGGGGGTGCGCGTGGGGGGCGCCCCAGAGGCAGGGCTTCACGGGGGCGCTCTGAAATCCTGTTCCGTTAAACACAAAGTAGGGACAGATTTCACGATGATTCATGTCAGAAATAGAGGAAGTACGTTTAGGAGGAAAAAAAAAAATCCCCAAATTAGCCGAAATTTAAAGCCATTACGCTGCGGCCCCTTTTGTCACCTGCGGGCCCGGCGGGGACACTCCGCAGTCCCCGCACACCTCCGACCGGGACAAAGCCGCCCTGCCCGGCACCACGGGGCTTTCGGGGCCAGGGCGCCGCTCCCGCCGCGAACACGCGCGTCCCCGCGGGGCCGAGGGGCTGAAGGGCGCAGACCCCGCCACTGACCCCCGAGCCGCTCGGCCACTCGGGGACCAGCCCACGCCCCCTTCCGCGCCGCCGGCCCCGCACTCTCCGCCCCCCCGCCGCCAGGTGCGTGGGCCCGGGCCCGCCCCCGCCGGCCCGCGGTCGGGCTCCGCCGCGGCCGCCAGCCCGAGGGCCGGCGCACCCTCCGCCGCCCCGACCCGACCCGGCGACGCGGCCTCCCCGCAGCCAACCGCCGCCGCAACGGCCGCCCGCCCACCGGCCCGCAGCCCACCTGTTGGTCGCACTCGGGGCACGATTTGGTGGCCATCTTCACTTTCTTGGCCCGACTCGCGGACATGCTCCCCCACCGCCACCGCCACGGCCGCGGCTGCGGCTCGGGCTCCTCCCCCGGCTCCTCAGCGGCCCGGCCTCCGCCGCCCGGCCCCGCCGCCCAAACTGAGGCGCTGCCGGGTGCGCGCGCGCGCTCGCCGCGGGCGCGAGGCCGCGCGGAGCCTGCGTGAGAGGGGGCGGGGCGCGGCGTGGCGTGCGCCGGCTCCGTGGGGCGTCAGACCGCGCTCCCACCCACCCCCACGTCGGTCGTAGAGCGCGTCCGTACTCTCACGACAGCCGCTGGGCCGACCCTCGGGCGAGACAATGGCTCTCGGGCGAGAGCCGCTTCTCCGCGTTGGTGGAGCTGCGTGAGGGCGTGGCTCAAGGAGTGGGCCAATGAGAACACAGAATGCTGATAGCTGCGGGGCACGCCTCCCCCGGGAGGAAGGAGAGCGCTGGCGTGAGAGAGGGCATGGGAGGTAAAGCGCAGGGCACCGCTGCGGGCGTTTACTTAACTCCGGTGACTGTCAGCAAGTCCGATCGTTGAGCACAGGTAGACATCTGATGAGTCTACTATGTATCAAGCCCTGGAGTCGGTGCCTCGAGATATAAAACTGGTTGTCAAATATTTATTCAGTGCCAATTCTGCCACACAAATGTGAATTCCAGGAAGCGCTGCCCTCGAAGAACACGCAGTCTAGTGTGAGCGACCTAAGGTTCGAGTCCGGAGGAGCTGTGTTGATGGGAAGAGTGAATCAGTTGACTAGAACGTTCTATCAAAGTTTAAAATACGCCTAGTCTTTGATCTGGCAATCCCATCCCTAAGAATTTGAAGAAAAGATATTCTCCACCCAAATTCGTTTGTACAGAGATCTTGTCTTTTGCAACCTTGCTTGTCGGAGCAAAATCAGAAACAGCCCAGGTGTGCATCATTGCAGGTCCTCAAAAGAATTAGATCTATATGAGGTGATATAACGACATCCAAAATAGTTAGTTGGAAAAATAAAGTACAGAACACCAGAGAGATAGGAGAAAGTCTTGTTTTTCATTCCATAGCCTACTACATCACTTGAATTTTCTACTAGCTCCATCTAGTATGGCTGTTCCCTCCCTCCTCCCCGCCCCCCAAAAAGGAAAAAGAATTTGTACAGAGCTACTGCGGATGCCACCTAACCCACCATCAAGGGATTTGGTGGTCCTGGAAGGCTTTCTAGAAGGGTTGCCTCCAGAGCTGAATTCCTAAGGCTGTCAGGTGGAGTTGCCCAATCAAAGGCAAAGGCTGTGCGAGCAAAGGCAGTTTGGTGTTGTGGGGTGCACCCAGTGCAGGGCAGAGCTAAGGCTGGGGAGGTGGGCCATCTTCAGCTATGCAGGGTCTTTGATCCCCTGGGGAGGAGTTCTTCCAGGGGGCAACATGGGTTGTAAGGAGAAGAGTAACAGGATTAGATTTGGGGTGTAGAATGCTTGGTCCAGCAACATGCCTCAGGCGTCAGCCCTGAAGCACAGGGAGGCGTGGACAGAGGAGGGGAGGGGCGGGGCAGGGTTTAGGAAATAAGACCATAGGAAACACTTGAGATTCTGCTCCCCAGTGTGTGTTGTCAGGTTTCGCTCAGATAAACTCATAAAAATAGAACACCATACTAGCAAAACTTGAGGAGCTATCTTGTCGGGGGTCAAGGGGTAGTCAGGGACACTTCCAGGGGACTCTCGAGTTTCTATCACAAAGGCCTGGAGGAATAGACATTCACAGTCGAGGAAGACAGTAGCTCAGTTTTCCCCGGAGAGTGGCGTAGGAAGCAGGAACTAGGCGCTGCAATCCAGGCCCTGAGGAATTTCCCGAAGGCTCCTTTTTCTGGAAATCCCCCAAAAGATCATTTGGCTGGGGAGGTGCTAAGAAGTCTTAAACTACACGGGAGCGGGGAGATGGAGTTTAAAATGGTCACTGTGCCCTGGCTGGTGTGGCTTGGTGGATTGAGTGCAGGCCTGTGAACCAAAAAGTGGCCAGTTTGATTCTCCATCAGGGCATATGCCTGGTTTGCAGGCCGAGTCTCCAGTGCGGGGTGAACAAGAAGCAACCAATCAGTGTTTCTGTCCCTCTCTTTCTCTCTCTCTTCTCCTCTCTCTGAAAATAAGTAATAAAATCTTTCAAAAAAAATAAAATGGTTAATGTGCCACACACTGACAGCGGCTGATGCCACTCCAGGCAGGTCCCCCTCCCCTCTGGCCACCTGTAACTACGAGTGGTCGTGTGGTGTTGTATCTGGCCAATAAAATATAAACTGAAATCGGCTGAGTAGGATTTTTAGAAAGGATATAGTTCCTGATCAAAACAAATTCACATAAAAAAAGTTTTGTCCTTTGCCTTCCGCACTTTTTCCTACCATCTGGAGCACGAACACGAGGCCCCGAAGGTGCCGTCCCTCTTAGGACGGTGAGACGATGAGGTGTCGCGCTAGTTCTCTGTTGCTACACGACGAATGACTGCAAAACTGAGTGGCTTCAAACAGCGGCGTCGTCTCAGTGTCTGTGGACCGGAACGCTGGTGCGGCTCTGCAGGCTCATCTGAGAGCTAAACCACGGGGGCCCGCATCTACACTGACTCACTACACTGGGGCAGGCCCCAGTCCCCGGGCTGTCCACAGAGCTGCCGCGCGGCGTGGCCACTGGCTCCTCCTAGAAGGAGTGATCCGAGAGCCAGAAAGAACACCCAGGGCAGAAGCCACGTGCTTTTCAAGACTTAATCTCCGAGACGGCATCCCATCACTTCTGCTGAACTCGAGTAGGAGCAGGTCCCTGAGTGCAGCCCGCCCAAGGACAGGAACTGCTCACACAAGGGCAGGAGTGGCCGGGAGCTGGATCGCTGAGAGCCATCTCAGAGCCTGCCGACCCCAGGGCCACGCACAGAATCGGGGTCAATCCACCAAGAATGAGCAGAAAGCTAAGTCCCTGGGTCCCCAACAGCACGGCCATGTAGGCTACCCCAGTCATGGCCTGCAGCCCTGAATAAGGGTTGGGGCAATCAGGGAAGACTTCCTGGAGGAAAAGTGCGTGATGGGTAGTCAGTAAGGTGAAGAGGAACAGCAAATATTCAGACAGAAAGCACATCATGGACAAATTAACTGAGATCACAGGAAGTGAGAGGAGGATATTGTGGCTGAAGCAGCAAAAGAGAAAGAAAAGTATCCGACATACTGAGGATGGTGCTTGGAGAGCCCATTTTTCACTGGCTATTTTTTTCTTCTATCCTCACCCAAGGACACTTTCTCACAGCTTTTGAAGAGAAAGGTAAAGAAACACTGATGCGAGAGAGCACTGGTCGGTTGCCTCCTGGACACACCGAGCCAGGGGACAGGACCTGCCACTTGGACATGTGCTCTGACCAGGCATTGAACCCATGACCTTTGGTTAAGGGATGATGCTCCACCGACTCTGAGGCTATTCCTAACGTTGCTCAGGACCCTTCCCACGTGCAACTACAGTGGCTGGGGCGGGCCCGATTCGCAATGAGCCCAGGTGGGAGCTTCTTAAGTAACAGGTATTGTGTACTTGATAAACCAAAATGGCATTCAAAGCCACTGTTTCAAAAATGTCTAATTAAGTTTACTGGGGCAATATTGGCTCACAAGGTTACACAAGTTTCCAGCGCAGATTTCTACGATACATGATCTGTGTATTGCACATGCGCCCGCGCTCCAGTCCCCTCTATACCCAGGACCCAGGCCACCCCAGGGAGACGGGGGTGGGGTTTTGGGGGGTGAGATGTAGCAGCCTCCATCCCCACTCTTCACTTCGATGCTCAAACCAAGGTTTCTGTCAAGGAGGCTTTTACAGCTTCTCTTTCTCTCTGGGAAAAGGAGTGGTTTCCAAACGTATTCAAGAGTGTGTCCCGAGAGCCCGAGAGTCTTTGGGGAGGCCGCTCCCCTCCCAGACCACCCTTCACCGGGTCTCTGCATGGCCGACTCCTAGGCAGTCTTTTACACACACGTACACGCATGCGTCACGTGTGTTGTCGGGCTGCTCCACAGCGCTCCAGTGGAGAAGCCCCATCCCTCCAGTGCAGCCTGCAGTTTTTAGCTCCATGTTCTGCCAGGGTCTGGGGAATTACCAGGTTAAGCCATATGGAATTGCCTTTTTGTAGGTCAAAATGTAAATGTTACATTCTTGAGAAAAGCAGCTTTACTCAGCTAAAATATGCACTATTAGTATTAACTGCTTCCCCCAAATGATAAATTTGCCCAAATATTACTAATATACCATATTTATAAAATTCAGTACTGTTAAAATATATTTAAATCCTTCAATTACTGCTGCTCAACTGGAGAATGTTGTTTCTTAGTCACAAATTACGAAAAGGGTGATCATCCATTGAAGAGGCCAGGTGAGAACGAGGCACGTGCAGACTCTCTGCCCAGCCCGGCCAACCTCCCCGTGGTGGGCTGCGACGTCTGTGCTCGAACACTGTCACGGGGAAGCGCAGGGCCACACCTGCCGACCTCGACCGCCTCGTCCCACCCGGTGCAGTGACTTCAGAGTGATCTGGATACATGATTTCAACTCCTCCTCAACACTCCTGTTAGCTGACCACCAGCAGAGGCAGTTCGGGTGAAAAGCAGCGATGAAACACTGTTTCTGCACGCCACCACCGAGAGACAGTTATCACCAGGCCCTCTTTTGGTCGAATCATAGTTTAACACGTTTGGGAACTTCATCAGCATCCAACCATTGTCCAGGTCACCTTCCATTTCATTTTTTTGTCACAGCTTACGATGCTCTCATAAGGTCTCCGCTCTTTTAAATCTTAAGGGACGGGCGTTATCTCCAACCGAGCAGTTTATGATCATCCATCAACTGGCGTTACCCACTTGTCCAATTGTTTTACCTTTCCTATTGCAGCCAGGTGTCGAGAAATAGTTGTAGCAGAAACTCCTAAGTCTGCTGCAAGGCCTCGAATTGCTGTCTTGGGGTTGGCTTCCACTCTGGCTCTCAACTGATCTTCATTTAAAACAGACTTGGGTCTCCCTCGAGGCTCATTTTTCAGACTCAGATCCCCAGAACGAAACTTCCCAAACCACCACCGGATAGTCCTTTCACTAACAGAGCCTTCTCCGAAGACAGACACGATGTTTCTACTTGCTGTGGCTGCACTATGTCCTAGTTTAAATTCGTATAAAAAAAGAATTCGCAAGTCTTTCAAAGATACAGTATTGTTCGCTTCTGTGGAGAAAACAAACAAAAACTCGATTAAATCATCAGAGAAAACCGAGAGCACAGCATCGTTACGAACAGCGAGCCGCACAGCTGCACAGAGCCCGGACGGCCGTTCCACCGTCTGGGCTGAATCTCAGCGGGCCCAGCACCGCAGTCTCACTGCAGACCAGTGTCCGGGTCACTGCACTCCGCTGTCATCGTTTCTACCAGGCAGATGTTACTTTTAAGTCTTTTGGTTTTCAATAGGGATACAATTGCCAGTAATTTTATAAGCATCTACCATGGAAGACATGCTTTTGAACTCAAATGTGACCTGTGCTTTGAAATCCAGGAGCTCAACACCTACCAGTTTTTCAGTGCTATCAAATTAAGATCTCAGATCAATGTGCTGCTTGGAAGAAAATTCTCCCATACTGGGCTGAGAAATACTTGTTTCTTATGTTTTCTGAGAGAGGTTTTGTGGGTCTCCTTCTTCCCTGTCTCATAGGATCTGAATGACTGCTACTTCACGACCTCTTTATCTTCTTTTTCCTCTCTATTTCTCCGCTGTTGGCTTCATACTTAATTTGGGTGTAGATGAATAAAAATAATGTATTTTAGGGATGTGAAAGAACTGTTTGCCTAAGTTTGCTACCCCCCTCCACCCTCCCCCTTGCAGTCATGTATTCTAAATGGCACTAGAGTCCACTGTCTAGGGCATTGTTTAAAACACAACCATAGCCCTGGCTGGTGTGGCTCAGTGGATTGAGCGCCCGCCTGCAAAACAAAGGGGTTGCTGGTTTGATTCCCAGCCAGGGCACATGATCCCCAGTAGGGGGCGCTCGAGAGGCAACCACGCATGGATGTTTCCCTCTTTCTCCCTCCCTCTCTCTAAAAATAAATAAAATCTTCAAAAAAAAAAAAAAACAAAACAAAAAAACAACCCCACAACCATAACACATGTTTCCTAAACGCACCAAAGGCTTTTAAAAAAAGGTTGTGGAGAGATTCTGCAGAATTCACATCCAAACAATGTCTGGGTGAATCGGGAGCAGCAGGGGGAAGGTTTCCGTTTCCGTTTCCGTTTCCCCAGCTTTAACCCCGGTCCCTTGTGGGGGCACGTCCCTCCACGGCCCCTCTCCTGCCCCTTTCCTCCTCCGTCTGCTTCCAAGACGGTGGGTGAGGTGCCCTTGCTCAAATTCTAAACGAAGCCATTTCAAATAAGTCAGTAGTCAATCTTCCATTACAACAGCAGAACAAATCTGATCTCAACCATAATGTATTGTTACCAAAAAACAAAAATATATATATTACAAATATAAAATAGATATTAGGAAAGTAAGCAGCTTTATTTTAGTCCCTAATATACTGAAAGCAATTTACCTTGTTGTTCCCAAATGGAATAGAAATTGGGGAGAAAGGTTTCCCGCAGATTTATTACATTTAATTTATGAAAGAAGCCAACTCTTCCACTTCAAGCAAATAAGCCAGTTAAGATACAACCAAAAAACAAAATTCATTTTAATAAAGAGCTAAATCCCAAAGTAAAAGAATTTCCCAAATGCACAAAGGCCAAAGATGTACTTCAATAGATTTTAATATTATAACTTCGCCAGGAAAAAATTTTAACTCACAAAAATTAATTTTTAACCTACATAATAAAAGCCATAAAAAAGGTGGTAAACTTTCAATTACCTGCAAAAGGTGATGATTTCTCTGAATGTTTTATTTGTAGATACTTTCTATTAATAAATAAATAACCACAACGACATGATTTACATGCAACAGGAACCTAGAGGAGGAAAAAAAGAAAAAAAAACATATTACATTTTACCAGTTTATTAAACTTCTCATGCTGGCCAGGGTGCCTCAGAGGATTGAGTGTCGGCCTTAGAACCAAAGGGTCCCTGTTTCGATCCCCAGTCAGGGCACAAGCCCGGGTTGTGGGCCAGGTTCCTGGTAAGGGACGCACGAGAGACACCACACACTGATGTTTCTCTCTCCTCTGTCTCCCCTCACTCCCCTTCTCTCTAAAAATGAACAAAAAAATTAAAAATAAAAATAAGCAATATCCCTTAAAAAAAAAAGAAAATATTCCGATTGACCAAGGAACAAGACATTTCTCCTCCACGGCGGAGCTCGCCCCCGCCCTCCCGGCCCCCCCAGCCTCCCCAGCCCCCCCAGCCCGGCCGAGAGTCTTCCCCCGGAGCCGCTGTCCGCAGGGACGGGGCAGGTGCCGCGAGCTCCCTCCCCACCGCGCTCCGGAGCGGTTCTGCCCCAGGCGGTGTTCCCCGTCCCCTGCGAGCCCCGGTAGGGCAGAATGTCCGGCCGAAGCCTAGACGCCTGCGGTCCTAAAGCCACCGACGGCCGGAGGGCTTCGGTGCAGAAAGCAGACGTTAATCCCAGACGCGACACGCGGCAGGGAACGGCAATTCAGAAAGCGACAGCGCCGCGCTGCACTTAGAGAAGGCGCCTGGGAAACCAGGCTTGAATGGGAACGTAGCGTTCATCCTGTCCCTCCACAAATTGAGGCCACGCTAACTATCCGGGCATGAGAACTATTAAGAACCATCCTGACACCACCGCTTTTTTATGTAAGTTTAAGAGGAAAACGCCATTACGCTGCGGCCCCTTTTGTCACCTGCGGGCCCGGCGGGGACACTCCGCGGTCCCCGCACACCTCCGACCGGAACAAAGCCGCCCTGCCCGGCACCACGGGGCTATCGGAGCCTGGGCGCCGCTCCCGCCGCGAACACGCGCGTCCCCGCGGAGCTGAAGGGCGCAGACCCCGCCACTGACCCCCGAGCCGCCCGTCCACTCGGGGACCAGCTCACGCCCCCTTCCGCGCCGCCGGCCGCAGGACCCGCACTCGCCGTCTCCCCGCAGCCAGGTGCGCGCGGGTCCGGGCCCGCTCCCGCCCCCGCCCCCGCCCCCGCCTGCCTGCGGCCACCCCGCCTCGGCCCGCGGTCCGGCTCCGCCGCGACCGCCAGCCCGAGGGCCGGCGCACCCTCCGCCGCCCCGACCCGGAGACGCGGCCTCCCCGCAGCCAACCGCCGCCGCAACGGCCGCCCGCCCACCGGCCCGCAGCCCACCTGTTGGTCGCACTCCGGGCACGATTTGGTGGCCATCTTCACTTTCTTGGCCCGACTCGCGGACATGCTCCCCCACCGCCACGGCCGCGACTGCGGCTGTGGCGGCTCGGGCTCCTCCCACGGCTCTCCAGCGGCCCGGCCTCCGCCGCCCGGCCCCGCAGTCGAGGTTGAGTCTCTGCCGGGTGCGCGCGCGCGCTCGCCGCGGGCGCGAGGCCGCGCGGAGCCTGCGTGAGAGGGGGCGGGGCGCGGCGTGGCGTGCGCCGGCTCCGTGAGGCGTCAGACCGCGCTCCCACCCACCCCACGCGGGCCGTAGGGGGCGTCTGTATTCTCACGAGAGCGGCGGGGCCGACCCTGGGGCGAGACAATGGCCACGCCTTCTCTGGGTGGTGGTCTGCGTGGGGGCGTGGCTCAACGCAGAGAGGAGGGTGGGAGTCGGCCAATGAGGATGCAGAATGCTCACAGCTGCGGGGCACGCCTCCCCCGGGATGGAGAAGAGGGCGGGTGTCAGAGAGGGCGTGGGAGGTAAAGCGCCCCGCACCGCCGCCGACGTTTACTTAACTCCAGTGACTGTCAGCAAGTCTGATCATTGAGCACATGTACTAGACACCTAATGAACGTCATGTACCCAGCGTCGGGGATTGAAAATTCATTCTTTTATTTCATAAATAATTGCCTAAAGCCCACTGTCAAGCAAATTTGAAATGCAGCAGCGTCTGCCTTTCAAAAAACGCAGTCTAGCCATTTAAACCAGTGTGACTTACAGTCCGCAATGAATGACCTGTGTGTTTTACCCCGTCAGTCACTGATCTTACTAAATTAAGGTAAAAATAAATTACTCTTAAAATGAAGCGAAAAAACATACACAAAAGCAAGTTCATTTTTTAAACACTCATTATTTTAAATATGAAATAAGACCGACATCAAATTACATTTCAGTAAACAATAGGAACAAACATAAAAGAAAACAATTTAAGAAACTATACACTTTGCTCAGAGAAAATTTGCCAATCAGTGTTTATGGCAGACAGTGGCTATTACACTGGTAACTTGTTCTCTTGTAACTAAAACACAGTTATGAGGGACATTTGTATTCTGCATATTAAATGCCTGTTAACACACTTTGAATGAATACAATGTATATAAATATTTAAAGCTGTCATTGTGGCAAATGAGATTGTCCCTTCCATTTGTCTCATTTATCTAAACTAGGTTGGACTGATAAACATGTTACTTGTAGAGGAAAATGTATGTTTAAACTATTACTAAGTCTCTCTGTCAATAAAAGAATATGCACACCTATAGAAAAGTTTTATGAGTTTATTAGAGCCAGCTTGAGGACATGCCCAAAAGTAAGATCTCAATGGATTGAGAAAACTTTCCCAAAAATTACAGGTTTTTTTCTTTAAGATTTTACTTACTTATTTTTAGAGAAGGGAAAGGAGGGAGAAAGAAGGGAGAGAAATATCCCTGTGTGGTTGCCTCTGGTGGGCCCCCTACTGGGGACATGGCCTGCAACCCAGGCCTGTGCCCTGACTGGGAATGGAACCAGCGACCCTTTGGTTTGCAGGCCAGTGCTCAATTCACAGAGCCATACCAGCCAGGGCTGGAAAATTTGAATTAAAAAAAAAAAAGGAAGGAAGGTATGTGACATTCATTGGTGGTGTATTAAGGAGGCAGGAGAAAGCCAAGCAGGGAACTCTCTAGCACTGGATCAAAAGCAGAGCAGAGAAACGTGTTTCTTTGACATCGGTGGTACAGGATAGTTTAACAATCCACATTTACAGCACATAGTGACATTCTGAAAGGAACAAGATGACAACGAGGGGTGCTGTGGCCTCCTGCTCCAGGGACTTGTGCCCTGGCGCCTATGTTTGTGGCTTCAAGGGGTCTGGAAAGGAAACCTGCTCTGACATGTCCCAGGTGTGTCATCCTAGATGCACGAGAACGATGGGCAGGGCTGGCGTACGGTGGAGACTGACCCTTGCTAAGGGAGCTGCGGGCCTGGGTCGGGACTCCCCGCTGCGACCTGCCCGGTTAGGAATCTGTGGGCAGGCCCTCTTGTGGGGTTACCGTCAGTCACTGAGCTTGTGGGGCGTGCCGCGGGTGAGAACTCTGGGTGATGATGATGCTCGTCGACACTGCTGCAGTGAGTCAACCCGTCCACTCCACACTCAAGGAGCAGGGAGTCAAGGTCCACCTCCTGAAGAGAGGTGTATGGAAGAACTCGTGGACATCTTTAAACACCACCCCAGTGGCTGATGGCAGGAGGCCTCAGTTCCTCCCCACGTGGGCCTCTCTCCATAGGATCGCTTGGGTGGCCAGCCTCGTGACCGGGCAGCTGGCCTTCCACAGAGCAGGCAATCCAAGGAGACCAGGAAAGAATTCGCAGTGTCTTTTATGGCCTAACCTCAGAAGTCCACTCATTCCTGCAGCATCGCATTGGTCATAGAGATCGGCTTTATTCGGGGTGGGAAGGGACCAAATGGGGGCATGTATCCTGGGAAGCAGGGGTAACTGGAGGTCATCCTGAATGCTGGCCACCACAGGTATCCAAAGGAAGCAACAGTGAATTCTGCCAGGGCACGCTGGGGAGGGCTTCCCAAGGAAAGAACCAGGACAGGTGTCAGAGGAGCGAGCTTCCCACCGGCCTTGATGCTGTTGCTGAGGTTGTTCGGGGCCCTCCCTGCATGCGGTTACAGTGGCCGCGGGTACCCCAGTCTCACACTGAGACCAGGCGGGAGCCTCTTTAATAATAAATAGGCACTATGTACTGGAGGAACCAAGATGGCTACTCAAAGGCACTGTGTGACCTCCCCGGAATTAGGGCATGAGCTTCCTCGGGGAGACAGGCCTGAGTTGTAGCAGCTCCGCCTGCCTCTCCTCCCGTCACATCAACTTTCAGAGCACGAAGTCTCCACCGGGAGGCCTTTCAGACTTTTGTTTTTGTGTGGAGTAAGAGCAGTGGGAAGCTCAGCAGGTCTTTAAATTAACAAATTTCCCATTTCTCTCAGATAAGCAAAAATAGCTCCTGAGTTCCATAGTGGAGGTCTTTGTTCATCCTTTTTTATTTTTTTCTCCCGAAGCTTTGGAATCATCCAAAGGAAGAGCCTGTTCTGACTGGTGTGGCTCAGTGGCTTGAGCTACCGGCCTGCAGACAGAAAAGTCTCAGGTTCAATCCCCAGTCCAGCCACAAGCCTGGGTTGCAGTCCAGGTCCCCAGTAGGGGGCGTGCAAGAGGCAACAACACACATGCATGTTTCTCACCCTCTCTTCCTCCCTTTCCCTCTGTCTAAAAATGAATAAATAACATCTTAGGAGAAGGAGGAGGAGGAGAAGTAGACCTTCAGAGCCCTGGAGTAAGCACTAGGTCCTAGGTTGAACATTCACAAGGGCCAGGGCTTGGGTCCTGCCCCTCCCGCTGCCCCACCCCAGCAGTGATTGGCCGTTGCAGCCTCAGGGTCAGGCAGATCTCCTGAGACACAGCCTACCCTCCAGCAGTTCCCCTGCAGGATCAGGCCAAAGCTCTATAGGACTTGCCTGAGACACACCCACTCCAGCTTCCTCCTCTTTCCTGCCCTGCCTCTCCACCCTAGTTTCTGTCTGCCCCGGAAGTGCTTCCTTAGGAAACCTCTTACTCGGACTTTTTCTCTTAGCCCGTGCTTCTCATGGGCCAGCCTAGGACGGCGGCCATCCTAGGGGCCGCCGCACCTATCAGGTGGCCATCTCCTGCAGAACAGCTCCTGCTCCATCAGGCCTGTGGATGACAGTGGCTTCCCACTGTCACTAAGGCCAGCATGCTCCCCTGGGTCCCTCCCCACTGCTTTGCAAGCAGCCCTTTCATTAAACAGTCCCCAGACACCCCTTTGGAGTGTGCAACCTGTTTCCTGCCAGAACCCTGAATCGTCAATATTCCCATTACAGGAGTTTTCGAAGTTTCTATCTTCTGTGTAACTCACAGGACCCCAGTGGTTTGGAATGAAATGCAAGTTTAAGGTCAGGGAAACGGACCACCCTTTGCCCCACCCAGTCCGTGTGGCTCTGGGGCTGCAGGTACGACAAGCCCACCGGAGGGATGATAGGGGAAGTCTGATATTTAGGACCCGCCTGATCCGAAGGCGGAGGCCACGACCTCCTCCCTCACCCACTGAGTCACGCCAAGCCAGGTCTGCTTTCCTGTTGTCAAAAGGCCTTCCAGCTGGAAGCAGCCAGTAAACAACTTGCAAAAGGTGACACCTGGCACTAGATGGCAGCCGTGACACGCCGGCGCCCTTGCTCACAGAAGCCACCGCCGTCCCAGCCCGCTGTCCCTGGGTTAGGGTTTCACAGCCCAGCGGAGCCAGCTCCCCCGCCAACTCCCCACCCTCAACTCGGGGGCTTCCCACGCCTCCAACACGGAAGTAGCTTGGGGCCCGGGGCCTCCCTGCCCCGCCAGGGCCCGTGGAACATTCCTCTTTGTGCTTCCCTCTCCGGCCAGTCGGAGGTGCATCTGTTCCCAGGCACCCAGGCACACCCAAGCGTCTGGGTCTTGGGGCAGGAGGCTGTGCTGCTACAAGGGCGTCCAGCCTCTTAGCGTCTCTGGGCCACTGGAAGAAGGAGAGTTGCCTTGGGCCACAGGTCAAATGCGCAAACACTAAAGAACATGGATGAGTGAAAAAAAGATCCATGCATCATTTTCGTGGTGTCCACTACCCCAGATAAGCAAGAAAGTCCTCACGGGATCACCCTAATTATGCAGTGGTGCTTTCGATGATCTTTTGAAATCATCCAGCAGGTCCCAAGTTTGTGGTCGCTGATATAGGACGTGTGCATATATAAGTAATGAAACTTAGTAATAACATGAATGTTTCCAGTACATTTACAACTTTGTGCCGGGCTGCGTTCCTAGCCATCCCGGGCCGCACGCGGGCTGCGGGCCGCAAAGCCCTGTCGTGGAGGGAGAATCTCAGGAGGAACCCCTCCTGGTGCAGGAAATGCCGCTGTGTTTGGCTGCCCCCACCCTTGCTAAAAGGCTGACCTCCACGATTGCTTTCACTGGTGTCCTCATCGCTGACTCCCCATCCCCACCTGGGGGGCGGAGACGGTGCCACGACACCCCACTGTCTGGTCCCCGAGCTGGACTCAGGCTGGAACAGAGGTTTCTTTCTGAAAACGCCCCTCAGAGCCCTGGCCGGGTAGTTGGGTTGGTTACAGCATCATCCTCATATGCTAAGGTTGCAGGTTCAATCCCCACTCAAGGGAGATGCAAGAATCAACCAATTAATGCATCAATAAGTAGAACAACAAATTGATGCTTCTCTCTCCCTTTT